TTACGAGCCAGTAAACCTTATAGACCACTTAGAATGTGATCTGATCAATAACAAAAAAAAAAAAAATCAAAATGGCGTCCAATATGGCCGCCATAAGCTAGTCGTCCTACAGTGGTGGTTTTAGTGGCAATCCATGTTTTCTTGGTCATAACCTATTGGTGCCATCTAAAATGTGATTAAATAACAAGATAGGCCTAACCAATATTTGAATAAGTATAAAATTCAAAATGGAGTCAATGTTTTTGACTCCATTAATATTATAAATAGCGAATAATGTCAAAATTCATATAGCTATATATAACAAAATGGAACGATCGAATAAAACTGACAGACACGAATGTAACTAGGCCTATATAGAATGGTGTGCCATTCTTTTGTACTTTGAGGGAATAGCCATGTATGTAGTTACTCCAATTTTGGAGTGTCTGCGCCCACCGCAAATATCCCTCTTTCGGAGGTTTTGCGTCCTAAACTTGTTATAAATTAAACGAGCTCTCCCTATATAGAGAGAGCAAACTTTTAATCAACCCTCCGATTTTCGAGTATCAGAAAACTCCAAAATCGGAGTTTCTGCAACCGGCGCAAATACTCCAGTTTCGGAGGTTGTGTGTCCTAAAGCCGGGCACTCACTGAGTCGTACGACGAATCCAGCTCTGCTGCATTAGACGACGTAATGCTGTCTGGTGATTGTCAGTGGCAGTCTGTCGTCGCGTTGCTGTCGCATCGCCGTCGCGCGCAGTGAGTACCCGGTTTAAGAGAGAGCAAAACCTTTAATCAACCCTCCTCAGCTCCAAATTCGATAGTGCAAAACTTTTAAGCCAGGCAATTACTGCGCACGACGGTCGTCGGCCGACGCGATCCATTGACGAACGCAACGCGACGACGCGCGCGCAACGGATCGTTTTTAATGACGATCCGTTCAGACTGCTACCTACAATCAGCAAACGGCGTTGCGTCGTCTGTCGCTGATAGTGAGCGAAGTTCGACTCGTCGTACGACGCAGTGTGTGCCCTGCATAAATCAACGCTCCGATTTCTGAATTTTTGCGTACTACACAAAAATCCAAAATCGGAGGGTTGATTTAAATGTTTTGCTCTTTCTATATTGGGAGAGCTTGTTGAATTAATAATAAGTTTATGACGCAAAACCTGAAATGGGAGTAGGCCTATTTGCGCCGGGCGCAGAAACTCCAATTTTGGAGTAACTACATAACTCGAATAGCCCTTCAAGAACACATCTCCATGACAGGGTCACAATTTTATTTAAAAAAAATTTAAAAAGTCGCTTCATATAACATTATCATTAATCACACGTTAGAGCGATCCATCGTTAAATTTAAAATTTGTGAAAAAGTGTACTGTGCTGAGCTTGTGTTTCTATGATGGCTTGGAATGGATTTATTCGGTGTAAACACCAACGATAGCCCACGAAATCTAGAAGAAGTCTTATTTTCCAGTGGGGTCCTTTTGGTGGTGATTTAGCAGTACACCGGGAGACATTCCCTACTCTTTTCCGAAGAGTGCACTGCGTTCTTTAACGTGCACATGGGCCATAAATGCACACGGGAGCAACAGCTTAAACGCCTCATCCGAAAGACGGTGCGCTATTGTAACTTGTATTTCAGCCCTCCAGCTGAAACACAAGGAGAGGCAGCGATGGGAATCGAACCGTGGACCTAGAGATCTCCACGGTTCAGCGCACAATGTAACAGTGTATCTCCACAGTGTCACAATCCCATAATGGCCTCTCTGCAATTGCGGCTTTTGGTTTACTTAATAGCCTAATTGTTGACGTTTATTTTATATCACTTTGGTAAGCTTTCAATTTCTAAAACGATTGTCGGACACGCATCAACTGAATTCAATTCAGCCTATTCTGATGCAAATATAGACCAACAGTTCTTGTATACTAAGTCTTTTACATTATATCCAAGGTATAGACAATCCATCATGAAAAAGCCCGTGTAATGGGGCCTACATAACTCACGACATATTTTCCTGTACCAGGTAGGTTATAACCTGGCAGATGAGCAAAAGGCGTTAAGATGATGTTGATAATGACGAAATGGTCAGAGGATTTAAAACACAGGTAAGCAACAACAGAGAACAATTTTATTGAAAGAATTATCTACATTAATAATAATAATAACAATTCAGTACGGTTCTGCATCATGAACTATCAGTATATAAATGTCCACAACACCACACAATGAATTATGAGAGGTGGTGGCCTAGTTAAATATCTCTGTAACGAAGACAAATTCTATAGACGGCTGCGCTTGCTGTAAAACCATCATTAATGGTAATTCATCATTAATACCGTCCATCCAGAAATACAAAACAATTTTACATAAAACAAAAAACAAGTTTAGGTAATATAATTTTATACAATTGACCCCGGGAATGATGTCATGGGATTGATAACTTTGCAAAAAATGAATGAAATCTAAAATGGATTGTGTAAACGATATCGATTTTAGAAAATCCAACAGCCGAATATTCACTTTTAAAGCAGCTCATGTACAAGGTCCCCAGAGGTGAGGGATGATTGTCGGACCAGATGTAGATGTTATACATGTACAGTACCTGGTTGGTAGTCCCCGGATTCAATCAACCCAATATTTAATATAATTTATGACATTATTTCAATATCAATTGTGGTTCTATTATGAATTAATGCATTTTGTTTGTAATTTTCAGTTTCAACGAGAAAATATCCAGGAGACTGATGTGTGGCTGAGAAGTCTTGTCATAGACCTGGTTGTTACTGAGATTGATTTGAGTGGCACCGAGAAAATAGGTCTTGTCACAGAGATTGACTAAACATGTAAGCCAACCAATACGATACTTCTTACTACTAGATTATTGGTGAACTGCACTGTACCAAAATAAAACTCAGGATATTCAGTACTTTTATGACTAGTTTATTTGACAGTACACAAGCTTTCGTGCACACAGTGCATTTCTTCAGGTGAATGTGAAGTACCAAGTTACAACGAACTATAAGCCACATTTTAAAAATGAGGTTGAAGCAATTATTTTTGACAAAACTGGTGTGTGACGCGCATTACAGTTAAAGAAATCACCCACGCACCCATTCATTGGTTCCAAATGCACAACATGGTTTCACGTGCTAAACAAGTAACTATATTATGTGTGCTGACTATCATAATGCTTATTCTAAGAACATCACTAGTACTAGAGTTTGACTTCCTAGAAAATGATTTCAGAAGTGCTCAAGTTAGATTCTTGGAACTAGACCAAATAAACAGTCTTGCGACCACAGGTTTCGAGACCGTCAACGGCCGACCTGTTGGTGGCAGTAAACTAAATATTAACTACGACTCTAAGAAACGCTCTCAGAAGATATATAGGCCTATTGCTTCTAAACGTACAGACAATATCTCAGTGGATATGCCTGAGAACCTGTATTTGGATTTGAAAATTTACAACAATAAAAAGTTGCACAAAAAACTCGACTTCATCATCGACGAGCCTACTACATGTCAGGCAAATGAAAACATATTTTTACTAAATGTCATATTGACGGCACCTCGGTTTGTAGATTCCAGAAATGCGATACGAAAAGCATGGGCTGACGTTAAAGTTGTTAAAGGGCGTAACATAAAAAGTGTGTTTTTCATGGGTAAGCCAACCACTGCCAATCTTGTGCAAAAGATGGCACCGAGGGTCAACAGCGAAAGTGAACGATATCGCGATATCATTCAGGCAGTTGCTTTAGAAGAAAACATCGTTTCCTCACCTACAGTCTTCAAGATGTTATCGGTATTTAAGTGGGTAGTTTCTTGGTGCCCGCATGCAACCTACATTCTGATTTCTACAGATTCCTTGTTCGTTAATTATGAAAACATTCTGAAGGCTATTGATGAAAACGCAGGTGTTAATAAACGATATTTATACATGGGGAGAGTGAAAAAATATAGCAAAGTAGATCGAACTCCAGGCCATCCGGAATATATATCTAAGGCTGTTTATAATAATTCTAACTTACCGAAGTACTGTGTGGGTGGCGCTGGAGTCGTGCTGTCGTCTGCGTTCGTACATCGTGCGTATGATGACGCTATGTGTCACTCATTTAAGCCACTTCGGTTCCCTTCGGGGGACATGTATCTTGGGATCCAAGCGAAACGTTTACGTGTTGAAGCAATTTACCAGGAGGAGTTTCTACGAGCTGGGTTTGAAGCCGATTATTGCGATTTAAAACACTCAATGACGCTAGGTGGTTTCCTTACACCGACTAGCATATCCGAGATTTGGAAGAACTTCACAACTCCCATAGACCACTGTCCAAGCGCTAACCCAAACAATTCTGATATAAGTGAATGGTCACGTGGAGTGGACAATTCCAAATACTTCAGTAAGTGTCTGAACATAATTTATAACAACCCCTCTCTGTGCAATAGGACGCCGTATCTTGTGGCTTTTATAACTTCATTCCCGGATCACTTTGCACTCCGAGATGCAATTAGAGTCACGTGGGGAGCTCCAGAATATGTTTCGAAACTAAATATCAGAGTCATGTTTGTCTTGGGAAGAGCAATAGAAAAAGAAACGCCAGAATTAATTAACAGAATTACACAAGAACATGAGAAGTATAATGACATTCTACTTGCAAATTTTGCAGAATCCTTCCATAATTTGACTCTTAAAGTTGTCTTAGGCCTAAAATGGATTAACGAGTTCTGTCCGGATGTGAAGTTTATCTACAAAGGAGACGACGATATGCTGGTTAACTTTGATAGGATACTTGGACACCTGAGAAGTCATTATAACAGTACTGGATTGTTCCTAGGTAACCTGATGTCTTCTAGCCCAGTTATAAGACAGTCTTCAAAGTATTTGGTGTCCCGTAAGGTTTATCCCTTTAAGTACTTCCCCCCTTACTTCTCGGGAGGAGGGTATATCATGTCATCTGACATTATTCCAGACTTATACAAGCAGTCCTTAAGCACGAAATTAATTCCAATTGATGATGCCTTCTGTGGAATTCTAGCAAAGAGAGCGGGCATCACTTTGACTGGAACTTCTGGTTTTATTTCTTCTGGGTCAAAAGACGACATGTGTAGACTACATAAAGCTTACAATTTGCATGGATTTAAAACAACTTCCACTATGATTGAACGTTGGTATCAATTTAGAAATACAAGTACTCAGAAAACATGTAAATAATAAATGAATCGGACTTTTAATATAAACAGTGTTAATTATTTTCTATTACCTGTTCGAAATGTTTAAATAGCCGGGTACTTCGTACCATAAGTGACGTAGACATGGTAAGGCATAAATACCAGTCTATGTTAAAGTGTGAGAATTTGTATGTACAGTTCCATGAAAAATTACATCATTAGTAAAGAGAATTTCAATAATAAAGAAAACCCTATAAAGTACCGGTAGCAAAGCTTCTAGCAATCTATGATGACTTGAAACATGCGTGTTATAACACTCTGTCAGTGATGCCAGTGTTGGGCGTGGGTGCACACAATTCGTCTATGCTGACTTAAAACATGCGTTACAAAGTGTTATAACACTCTGTCAGTGATGCCAGTGTTGGGCGTGGGTGTACACAATTCGTCTATGGTGACTTAAAACATGCGTTACTAAGTGTTATAACACTCTCTGTCAGTGATGCCAGTGTTGGGCGTGGGTGTACACAATTCGTCTATGATGACTTGAAACATGCGTTACTAAGTGTTATAACACTCTGTCAGTGATGCCAGTGTTGGGCGTGGGTGTACACAATTCGTTAAAGAAAAAAGTAGAAATTCTATGTACTTTTTACAGAATGTGCGACCCTTAAATCTATTAAATAAGCCTTTTAAATCCTAAATTGTTAGAATTTCCCCATTTGAGGTGTCATGGGCTGCCCTTTGCTCTACCCATTTATGATATTGTCGGAAAAAACGGCCTTCCCGCGGTGGTCATTAGACCCCAAATTCTGGCACCATCACTGCTCCCCGCCAGGATTTGTTTCAGGTGTATTGTATTGTTCGTAAGAAATTACACATCGCTTATGACATTGAAAAGCAGGTAAAAATTATTTGAATACATTATTCAACACATGTTGAAACTAATGTTAATATTTTTTTGCACAAACGATAATAGACTTTTTCTTTTTTAAACACATTGGCATATCTAGGGTTATTAACATAATGGGGAGGGGGAGGCTTTTTTTTTTTAACACATTGGCATATCTAGTGTTATTAACATAATGGGGAGGGGGGCTGGTGTGGGGATGTTACAAATTTCAATATGTTAAAAGACATGTAGTACAGCATTAGGACTGATTCGTAGATCACACAAATATAAGGTTGTATATTATGTCCAATGTGGATTTGATGGCATTGTTCAATGGTCATACTGTTCATACAAGATTCCAATTCATATGTTAACCTGCACCCTGATCTCTAAATCATTTCTGTATGCTCCTGTATATTTTGCACCTAATAATTATAAAGTATATAATATATAAGATATTTGTTAAGGTCAGCACACACTACATGAGCACTAGTATATTTCATGGTGTGATTTTTTTTTGTGTGTTTTGGTGGTTTTCATTCCTAATGGACCTTTCCGCTAAGCTCCGCCCCTTGGATATTGTTGCTAAGGTCCCACAAGACGGCAGTGTTAAAACATACGCGAACACGTGCGTTTGTGGGACAACACGTGTGTTTGTAAGACGCGCGCGTATTCCTAGCGCTGTTCTGATTAGTCAGTTGTTAAGTTTGATTGACACTCCGGAAAGGTCTATTATATTCATATCATTTTTCACTTTTCTGGCATTACAAGGGACTGTGACTCTGATTCGGCGATGCTCCAAAAGGAGTTTTACTGATTAATTTTCCCAATCTAGCACCTGCCGCCTTTCATAACCTTACGTTGTGACAATGCAACAGATCAGTTTCAATGATAATCCAGTCAAAGTGCCATCAATTTCGTTCAGACTTATATTGTGTTGGACCAGCACACACACAGCATGGACACGATTTGTTGGCTGAACGCTGGTTGATGCAGTGTTTTAAAGTCAGACTCCGGAGGAAAAAAATTGTTTGATATGTTGTAGAACTGATTTTTCTAAGACAGAAAAAAGTTGTTTGACGAAAAACTGGGGAACGGTGAATGAGATACAGATTTTTTAATATTTAAAAACTGGGGGAAAAAGGGGCGTAACCGCCCATTTTCACACCTTTTTCCCCCAGTTTTTAAATATTCAAAAATCTGTATCTCATTCACCGTTGCTCAGTTTTTGATCAAACTACTTTTTTCTGTCTTAGAAAAATCAGTTCTACAACATATCAACATTTTTTTTTCCTCCGGAGCCTGACTTTAAAGGGCTGAAGTTGTGCAGTGGCAGACCGTAGGGTTAATTGCAGGGTATGCTAGGTATTGGCATATCTAGGATGTGCGAGGGGCATGCAAGCCCTCCCCCACCCCAAAAAAAAATACTCGTCCATCCCCTGTCGCGCCCCCGCCAACAAATCATGCTCAAGTAGTTAAAATCACCTCAAATCACCTTATTTTGTTATCCCCCTCACCTATTTGCCCATCCCCATCTTCCCACCCCCATCAGCTCCCTTCCATTTCAAGATCCCTACACCACTGATGCTAGGGCCTGCTAGTAGGAAAAGTTTGTAAGCCTACTACTATACAGAATCAGCAAAAGCACAAATGTATGTTATTTTTAATACTGGCATGGTTGAAGTATCTTCTCATGTAGAAATTCTAAGCAGCTGCGATAGGCCCAACTGTGACTTATCCTAGATACCAAAGTAGGCCAAACATTGAAAAGCTTTGGTATTCTAATGAACTGTAGCAATCCAGTCAAAAAATTAAGGTTTATATAGAAGATTCTGACTAAGAAATGCTAAATAAAACTGAGAAACTGTACTACTATATTTTTTAAAATTTGTTTTGCCTTGCTTGCCTTGATGCTCCGCCACTGAAGTTGTGCCAATTTTTTGTGTATTCCTTCCAACATTAACATATTAGCAGTTAAAGCAGGATGGAGAACAATACATGTTCTCTTTCTGGGGTATGGTACAGTCAGTATTATAAGACAAAAACTTTATTGCCATTGTCATTAGTATTACTGTACTTTTATTTAGGCATAGTAAACCATAGCAATGACTGGTTAGCCAACAGCTACTCAGCTCTTCTTGTGATTTGGGAAAGGGTTGATGAGACATCTATCTGTTGGTCCAGTGTCCTGGTTATTTACATTAATATTTCTGTATTATTAACAGTTAAGTCATTGGTCTAGTATCACTGAATAGTTCACAAAACATCAACATTATTTATATTGTATTATTAGCCAGTACACATTTTCACCCATTGGTCCAGTCACTGAATAGTTCACAAAACACAAACATTATTTATACTGTATTATGAACCAGTAAACATGGTTACCCATTGGTCCAGTGTCCCTGATTACTTCACAAAACATCAACATTACTAATACTGTATTCTGAACCAGTAAACATTGTCATCCATTGCTCCAGTGTCCCTGATTACTTCATAAAACAGGATTCCAACAATAATTCTTCATGAACTGATTTTAGAATCAATTTAAACTTCCTAATATTTCATGATTTTCTTGCCAGAATTCATCACCTATTAAGTCTGTATGCAGATGCACAACTTTTCTACGTGTTCGTATAACGGTTCTCTCCGTTTCTTCTGCACTGTCTTTACTACGGCACAATTTTATTATTTCTTCATCAACCTATAGCAGAACACAATGTATGTTTAGTGTACAACTTCAGGCCTTAATTGTTGTTTGTCAACTACATAGAAGTATCAATTATTTAAATTCAACATATAATTCTACAATTATCATTAGGCCAAAAACAAGACTGTGTGATGCCTTATCCTGATCACGATGCACAATTTTAAAAATCTAGAGTTGGATTTTCTTACTAAAAAATATTCTTTTACTAGAGAGCAGACCAAAATACTTGTATCATGTTTAAAATGACTCTTTTCTGCTTTAATTACTAAATTTGATAATTTAACCATGGGTTTTATCCCTATGTGTACCACATTACAAACCAAAATTTAGGGGAACTTTACCTTAGAGTTAGATCTATGTTAAACAAAAAGTTCGACCAACCCTGATTTTCAAATGCCACTGTAGTTGGGCAACACAGCAAGTTTTTCGCCTTATTATGCGGCATGCATTTTAGTGGCAACCTCTCAACAAGCCAACATAGGCTCTCTCAACTGGCCAATATAAGCTGACTCATAGGCCAACATAAGCCAACTTAACTGGCCAACATAAGTCAACACAACAGACCAACATAAGCCGACTCAACAGGCCAACATAAGCCAACTTATCTGACCAACGTAAGCCAATGCACGACGCCAACATAAGCCGACACAATTGGCCAACGCAAGTCAACACAATAGGCCAACATAAGCAACTTAACTGACCAACAAAAGCCAATGCAACAGGCCAACATAAGCCAACTCGACTGGTCAACATAAGCCAATGCAACTGGCCAAAATAGCCATCTCAACAGGCCAACTTAAGCCAACTTAACTGACCAACAACATGCCAACATAAGCCTACACGCACATACCTTTTTCCATATAAGAATTGTTCCCTTTCTGTAGAACTCTTCTAGTTGATTGTAATTCACATGAAATTGTGAGAACAGCAACTCGTTCTTGTCACTGGACAGGGTTCCCTGTGAGCCAACAGGATAAAAACTATTGTAAATATTCACTGTTGAATTAGTATTAATGTACAGCACAATGAAGGCAAACTTTACAGTAACATACCAACATGGAAATTAGCTTGAATATTTAAAACATAAATTACCTTTAACCTTTCCTCTGCTTCTGCATGACTGCAATTACCTTCCTGAACAAGTTTCCAAAAGCAAGTATTGTAGAGATTGTTGATATGACCTGAAAACAATACCATATTCTATGATTATTTAATGTTGTTAGGTTCTACATTGACATAGATGTGATCAAATGATGCAGCTAAGTTTGAAGATAAAGGCACATGTAAAGCTCTTTCCACATACATTCATTTCTCACAAACTGTAGTGTAAGACTTTAAAGTAGTTTAACGTTTTTTTTCACCTTAAAGTCGCAACTCCCTTACTTGAGCCGGCGTCGCCACCTTAACAGTCCAAGGTGGAAGCTAATGGAGCCCAGCAAAATGTCGCCGGGTACCTGCGCTTACACAGTTGTGGTGGTGATGCCGTCTCAACATCGGGAGTGCGTATTTCCCTTCCCTTTTGTTTTCGCGGTTTGTTTTTTGCCAATTTTCTTTTTTTTTTTCCAATCTGACTTCGGGTCTGTATACTGTCAGTACCTTGAGAAAATTTTATTGTGGAAGGCGCTCTACAAGTATCCTACCATTAAAGCATGAGAAAGATGTTGGTAAAGGATAACAGGAGAAGCGTGACATGAGTAATTTCATAGGGAGAGTCCTGATTGGGAGGGGGCCTGACAAGAATAACAAGTAGGGGACAGGGAGAGGCATATCAGGAAAAGGCTTTGTGAAGCTACAGAATAACAGAGGGCCCAATGGGTAGAAGCTTGTTAGGGAGAAGCCTGCTAGCCAAGTGCCCAATATAATGAACTACTTAAGAATATAAAAAAATAAATTAAATAATTACAATCAGCTTGACGCCAACTGAGGTAGTCCCTGAGATTCTGGTTGCTAGGATACAAGACAGCCCTGGCATCGAATGCTGGAGGGTACTTGAGTGGTACGTCCTGGTTGATGTATTCCTTCCAATGGAACACGTAGCAGGATGCGAACAACGATACCAAATTGGACATTAATTTGCTGAAAATAAAAGGAAATTATTTTTGATTACACTTTAGTGTGTGCAGTGGTATCAGCAACATATCAAAAATTCTAAGCGGAGGTAAGAAAGCAACTACATTTTTAAGCATGTGAAGAGTGATCACCTTAGAAATACCAAAACCATACTTTAGTTATCATGTGCTCTACCTGTATAATCAATAAGTATTAGGCTTAGAACTACAGAGTGTTTTCCAAAAACCGACAGGTCCACTGATTCATCTCAGATAAGAAAGTATAATACATACTCCAAGTATTGAAACGCACGCCATCTTGTTGGGATTCAATATTTCAACTTCAATTATATCATCATCAAAAATTCCTGGTGATGACAATTAATTTTGAAATATACTGAATCCTAACACGATGGCGTGCATTTCAATACTTGGAGTATATAATATACTTCCCAATAAGGATTAAAAATAGTGAATTTAATTTTCTTAACTTCTACTTTTAATTTAACTTCTACAGTGTGTAGTTTGTAAAAATGATCCAATGTGATGAACATTCTGTGATAGACCATGGGCATGTGCAAAATATTTATAATTTTATTACTATATTTATAATAAACATTAAAGAACATTAACAAAAATATGCTCTATCATGGTATTAAAAATATTGAAAAAAGACAAACCTTGCCCTTCGACTAAATTGTGTTGTTTGCTTCCTGAAAACAAAGCTGTATTCATCACTGACACCATAAGCTATAACAATGTCTTTGAATTCGTTCATTACACATTCTGCACATTTGTTCATTAGTAGAAGGGCGCCCTCATCATTAGGTTTTTCAAACTTATGCTCATCTGAAAACCTGTAAAAACAATTTATGGTTCATTCTCCATGTATTTATATCACAATAAACAAAAATTAATTCCACTCCATAAGCTTCATAATGAGACATTATTTAAAGAACAAACTACAGGTATTGCCATATTCTGTCCTTTATGAGTGCATTCGTTGGGTGTGTGCAAATCTATATTTTGCCAGATTTCATAAAACATGACATTTTTTCAACAACTTACTTGTGAAAACCTCTTCCATCAATGCGTACCACAATCCAGCAGTTAGGAAGACAAGCATCCTCTTTCTCAAACTGCCGCACATATTCAAACCTGCTGTTGGCCATTTCATATACATCCAATAATCACTGAGCAATGTCTTATGAATATTAAAACCATTGACTCTGAAAGATAACATTTTATTATTAATATTATATGTTTAAAAAAAAAAGGTGATTTGTTCTGCACATATACATCTTGTTTATGTTTAAAACAAAAACAAAAATTATATTTACTGCGAAAGATATAACTCATAGACTATTACAAAATGTACACATTCTTGTCTTCTCCTACTGTGCTACCATTTACTAATGGGGCAATACACTTACATCCTGGGTTGATGATTTAGTCAACACAAGGCAGAAAACGACTTAACAAATGGTTATTAAATAGGGCTGTGCCCACTTACCAAAATCAACATTTACAGTGAACGCTTTTCTTTTTGATGCATACTGTAAAGTTAGACTATTGTAATTGCACAGTTGATACATCATTAGCTTAAATTTGTGCAGTCACTATGAAAACATGTGTTAAAAATCGTAACAAGTGCATAATACATTGGTTATAATGATTAGGTCAAGGCCTAATATTTTAGCAAAATAGGCCCTTATTTACTGAAATACGTGGTAAGATAATTGTTGCCCAGATGATATTGCAGGCCTTATTTTACACTAGTCTGGCCATACTGTAAAATTTTTAATTTTGCGGATAATACTTCAAAAACCAGCTCAAATTTGTGTGGGGAATTGCTAGGAAAATAGGAGTGCAGTATCGTAATTACTGCATATTAATACATTGATTATATATTAAGATTACTGGTAGGTCAAATCGAAGCTTAATTTTCGGCAAAAAGTTGTGCAAAAATAGCCCTTATTTTCAGAAATGCGTGGATGCATTTCTAGGTCAAATTTTTGCTTGGACGATATTTCCTGTGCAGACCTCAGTCTGGTTTCTGATTACCTTTTTGGCACAAAATGGCAAAATGCATAGCAATTGTTAACAACACGCATACATCAATCAACCCTTGCTCAGGATCCTGCACATGCCTGGCTAGGCATGCCACATGGGGACATGCAAGGCTGGGCAAAGGCTCTATTACTGGAGGGGGGGGGGGTGCAGGTCAACTCGGCCACAAGTCAATTCGGCAACAGTCAACTCGGCCACAAGTCAACTCGGCCACAAAAAGTTCGGCTACAGCCAACTCGGCCACAAGTCAAATCGGCCACAAGTCAACTTGGCCACAAATCAACTCGGCCACAAGTCAACTCGGCCACAAGTTATTTAATGTAA